ACATGACTACCTATTCTACCTAGTACACCCAAGCAGAGTACTTATTAAGCATCAGATGGAAAGGAGGGAGAAGGGTGAAGTTACTGTTTTGGTTCGGTGGAGTGAAGGCCTTCAGCTCAGTCCGGTTTTCTGCAGGCCCCGGGGTAGCACAGTCCGTTCGTCCAACAGAAACTCAAAGAGATTTGGATAAATCCGATGCAACAATAAGAGGCGATTTGCAAGGGACTTAATTTTGTAACTCATGGTAGCACGGGACGTCTCCCGTTTTAGCTATGGTGGTTAGCTCATAGCAACAGCCTATTAGCAGCACCTCGGTGCTGCTTCGTCTCAGGAAGTCACGGTCCGGTGGCTTCTAACTGCTCCTTCAGCGAACAGCGATTGGGGCCCTATTGTTCGACCGTTAGCAGAGCTGGATTAGCTCTTCTCTGTCTCTGCTGCAGCAGGATTCAGGATACACTGCATTCAACTCGGTTTGAATCGCAGGAAGAATAAAAACACTGCATTCAGCTGCTTCTGAATTGTAGGAAAAAGGCAGTCTGACCCGGTCCAGCGAGTGCAGACTTCTCCGGAGGCACTTGGTTGCTACTTAGCATAGCCTTCAGCTGGAAGCGCTTTGTCTAGCAAGCCATTACATCAGCAACAATGAAAAAAAAATAAAGTCTGTGAAAGCAGCTCACTCATCTATAGGGTTTAATATGAGTAGGAATAATTTTGTTTAGGGAACAGCTTATGTTTAGATGTTTTCTAATCCTTCATCGATTATTTTGGATCTTTAAACAGGCATTATGTAGTTTTCTAATGATACTGCCACCGAAACACTGCTTGATTCTGAGTATCAACAAAATCCATCTTGAATATAATGTGTTGATTGTTTGTAAGGTCAGGAAAATGGGCTAAAAGCTTATAGATGCAGAAATGCTGAAATGCTGAGGTATCAGTCTGCTCATTAAAGTATGTTTTAGTCATAAAGTGTATAACAAAAAGGCTATTTTTAAGATATTTTTCTGTAAAACTTACATTAACTGTTTGTGGCATGAAGCCTTGTCTATTTTTAACTTATATCACACATGTAAAATTATTTCCTGTTATAATTCTTGAATATATCTAATTATATATGTACCACAGACTTTTTATGTAGACTTATTTATGTGTCTTTAGAACCATGCACCCAGTTACACTTTCCTTTTCTCTACATCATATTTAGACACACTAACTCCCAGTTCATCACAGGTTTTTGTGGGTCAAGCGGGACTGAGACCAAAGGCTATGAAGTCTGGTCAGCTGATGGTCATCATCTTGGGTCAGGAAATACTTTTAATTCCTGCAAACACGTTCCCTCCCAATTCTCCCATTTCCAAAGATTCCAGCATAGTTACATTATCCATCGAATAGCCATCCATTTCCCCTCAAGCTTATCCCAAGCGGGTCACGAGGGGTGCTGGTGCCTATCTCCAGCTGTCTACGGCGAGAGGCAGGGTACACCCTGGACAGGTCGCCAGTCCATCGCAGGGCCAAATAAGTGTAAATTATGATTTTTATCGTTAAAATAACTTTTGACTTTAGTGTAGCTGATTAAAGTATGCATAATTAAAGAGTAAGGACAATGCCAATAAAAACAGTCAGGTTTGATGTGCAGGAGGAAACAGAGTAGATACAGTTTAAAAATGCAGCACTGTTGGCTGATTAGCTAAACACAGATACTACTGATCAAAATTTGCAAACCCATATTAGTGCAGACTCAAAGACAGCTCTGTTTAGTTATTCTTTATGTATTAGAAGCGTGTCTGCTTCCCTGTAGCTCCCCTGACTTGGAATAGGGAGGAGAGCAGAGATAGTTCACTGGATGTTTATCCTTATCCTTGCACAGTCACATTTGTAAAGGCTAAAACAACAGTGACCAACAAGCTTGGGAGAAAAGTGGATGAGTCAGAATCAGCTGGTCTATATTAGAGGGAGGTCTGCAGTGAGGGTAATCTCATTTACTAAGAAAATAAAAAAAAATAGGCTGGCCGCAGGCGAGCTAAGGGGATGCTGGGCACGGAAGCCACTGTCTGACTTGCAGTATCTGGTGGATGATTACCATTTTAACCAGTCAAGCAATATATATTAAATATATTTCCCCTAAGGTCCTTTTACAAGTTTCAACTCCCTTACATCGCAAACAACC